AGTAGTAAACGGCGTCCCGCAAAGGGATTTTGAATTCCAGTTCCTTACTGGACTTCCGGACTGCAGTTTATGACATCATAATAATATTAAAACATTAATAAAATTAATACAAAAAAAAAGCTAATTTAATTAAATAAAATTAAAATAATTCAGGGTATATGTCAATGAAACGGACAGAAATTTTCCTGGTAAAAAAACTCCAGATACTAAAACTCTGTTCTACTCAATCGCACAAAGTGCCAAAATTCTCCGTTGCTATTCACAACTTTTAATAATAAAATATTTAAAATAAAAAAAGCCAAGTAATTCACTCACACTGACATCCCTATCATTGAATTCTCAAAAGCGCAACACCGGAAACAGCTGTATGTGTTTTCGTCCAACATTAGTATAAACGAGATCAAACATTGGTGCCCAGATCAAAGTAAGGCTTAAAGGCTAAAATACCAACACAAAAATTTGACCGTGATAGGAAACATAGCGACTGCTGAGAATCATCGGAATATGGCCTCTAAGCCCCGTCAGAGTCAGTATCGCTTTCCCAAGCGATCTGTTTCCGGGTAAGTTAGAGCACTAAATAAACAAAAATCGTGAACAAATCATAAACAACGCGAACCCTAGTGCACTTATAAATAGGATTTACGTGGAAAACCGCACCACAATATCAGTAAATTAACAGCTACCAATCCCACGAAATTCCTTCACATAAAACAGCGAAGTCAACATTACAGCAATACTTCACATAACAAAACGGATCAGAAAATTATCTACAACGAACGCAACGAATCAGAATTTACAGGTTAAAAGCTAAATGAATAGAATAGTACATATTGCATATAATCGAAATGTACAACATTACCAGAGATAATTTCGTAACGAAAATTAGTAAAACAACAAATAAAAGGCGTTTCCAATAAAAAATATAAAAACATGAAAAGATTATCATAAATTAACATACAAAATATCACAGACAAAATATTACATACAAAATACATACAAAATATTATTAATTTCAAATTATATACACTGACAAGAGTACCAAAGGATTACAGCTGTGTACCTGCAGATCGTCCTGGGGATTCCTGTCGGAGTCGAAGATGGTGGCCGTGTTACCCGTTCTTTAGATTGATGCCCAGACCGCCGGCCCGCGTTAACAAGAGGAAGACGAAGCGGTCCTAGTCTTCGCGTGAGAAACGGTCGATCGCGGTCTTCATTCAGGCAGAGAAAACTGAATAAAATTATTGGACGACAAGTGGTGGTACTGTAGTAATTATTTTTATTACACAACTATGTAGTTTTACCTATTTATTAGCGTTTGATAGCATATGTGACACAATTATATGTCAAAAAATTCACGGAAAAATTGAATAAAGTTCCAATAAAAGCTAAAATGACTTCTTTGACGCGCACATTAGTCTTACCTAAAATTTTTGCATAATAACGGGCAAAATCGGTCCGTCGAAATATTCTCGTACTCTTCATCATCCTGTGAGTCTGCCAGTCCAACGTCTCCCGTTTTTCTCCCCGTCTACCGTCGCTTTCAGCGTGGCCTATCCCAAAATCCTCTTCGGGTACCCCGTCGTCTCTGCTCCTATCGTAATTCCCCATCGTCCGCTGTTGTGGCCCATAAATTCCACAGCACCGCGTCCATTACAGGCCCGCGTCTGTCACAGCCCCGCGCCGCTCCAGCTCTGCGTCCGTCACATCCCCGCGCCCTCCGCAGCCCAGCTTCCTGCCATTCTCTCGGTCCCCCCCCTCACCCCCGCCCCCCCGCGCTGCGCTGCCCCTGCTCGTACCGTTACCTATCCCCGCGTCCTCCGCAGCTCACTTTTCTGCTATTCTCTTGGTACTCAACCGCCCCCCCCTCACCCCGCCCCCGCGCTGCGCTGCACCTGTGTGGTGTACTGCTAGCTATAGCGCCCCTGTTTGTACCGTTACCTATATGCGCTGCAAAACCACACTGCGTACGATTATCGTCTGAGAATTTTATTTAGTTATTTACCGTCGTATTAAAGGAATTGCCACAAAATCACAAAGTACACAGTTTACAAGTAACAAATTACTAGAAATTCCTTTGCCATCCTATTTCATTTACCTAGTTTAATTTGGCTAGGCAAAAAACACTGGATATTGTCAAAATTGTTTTTTATGGTAAAGATCGTCGTCCAAGTCGGCCTTCCATTTGGCCGCCTGCTTCATTTCTTCATGCATCTGGGGCGTAATTTTAGAGGCAAAAAATGCCAATGGCACTAAAAAATGATTAAATTACCTAAAAGCTATAGAAATTAATAACAGCACTTACAATTTGCCTGCTGAGCGCTGCGACGCAAAAACGCGATGGTGTCCGCATCCAGATTCAATCTGCGGATTTCTTCTGGAAGGTCGCTGTCCTCCGGAATGGTGGATGAAATCTCGTTGCTTTGCTGGCTGGCCATGTTGTTGGAAATCTTGAAGTTGCAGACTGGAGATGACTGACTGAATTCATTCTCACTAGCACAGACTTATGAGCTAGAAAAATCTTTAACTGTCAACACGATGGAACGTGATGTTCCATCACTTTCTATTGAACAATCGCATTGGAATGCATACGTTTTCGATTGCGATTCTCCCTAAAATACAATATCTCTAATTTTACGCTTAAACGTTAGAAAATTTAGCAGGTACCTATAAATATGAGTTGTATGTATTTGTAAATGAAGTGTAATGGTGATGTTTGTGATTTGGCTGGCCGTGCTATTGTGATATCATTTCCTTGTTTGGCGCGTCTGTTGAGCGTGTGTGCGTGTACATCTGTGGCCAGAAAAAGTTCCTGGCGGCACTACGCACATTTTTTCCGCACGAACTCTACCGTAAGTTCCTTGTCTAATTACTATTTACTAATTAACTTTTCTGACCTAATACTCCGAAGGCTTACACTGAATACTAATTGTTTTGTTGTACTCGAGCAGAATTAGGATTTTGTAATCCAGTAAACAGTTTCGGGACTTAAAAAGTTTGCCCTGGCTCTTTCGGAAAATTTTCAACACTGATCTAGACGAAATTTTTCTTTCTGCCTAAAAATCAACTTTTTAATCTTTTTGCTCTCTGTTTCATACTGTAAGACTTATTAATTATTATTGAATATTATATTATAGCTACTTTATGAGTCCGAATGCAATTAATGACTGAAATTAATTATTTACAGGTTATTACCTGCGGGATAGCGATACTATTAGGAACACCATCTAACCACACACACAGCATTGCGTGAACGTCTACGACGGTACAATTTACTATTCGGAACCAAATTATTCTGTGTTCCTAGCATAATATTAATATTGTTACATCCTAATTATTGCTATACCATTTTTACCGCAATTTATTTTTAATATCATTAAAATGTCTTAATTGCAGATAATTTACCACAATTACAACGGACTACGACCATTTCAAGCGCCAAAGTAAATTTCACCTTAAATAATCGTTTGTAAAATATCTGAATAATTTAATATAATTTTAATGTATTATAGCAATTGATCAGTTATATCTGCTGTAATTATAAGTGTAAGCATTTGCAGGCTGACATCACGACTGTGCTAGCATCATCACAACGTAAGTCCATATGGCTGAGCAGGAGCAAAGGTCAAAGCGGAAAATGGAACCAACAGAGTAAGCTGATTTCGTAAAAATATTCAGTGAAGCAAAAAGGTTTTTTAAAGCATAATTTATACTTTTCTCGATAATCGATTCCGGTTTTCAAAATTTATCAAGTATAATGCTGCTACTGAATAATATTCAATCTGCTGTACAACCAAATCAACCAAGTCTTGTATCTTTTTACCTTGATTTTATTTGAAGTGTAAGCAAAATAAAAATACAGTAAAATCAAAATTATTTTATAGTTCAAAGACATCGATACTATTTAAGTCATCAATTAGCCGAATCACCAGTGATGTAGTGCCAGAGTTATTTGCAAAAATGGAGCAGCAGAGAAAACACAAGCCAGCTCTCACAGCGCTTGCTGCGGCTTGTATAATTATTCTGGTAATAATAATTTTAGTAGGCGATATTATTCTGCCTATCGCAATAGCGATGATACAGCAACAACAACAGCAGCAGCAAGTGCTTAATAATAATCAATCAGGAACGTTATTTTCGTCGACGTACCCGAATGGGAGCGTCGTCAAGTCTGGCAGTATCCTTCGTTTATCATAGGTAAGCTTAAAGCGCTTTACCTGGTCCACAGCATCAATTTCAAGGGTCCGTTTATTACGCCGTATCACGGAAGAATACCGTAAGGGGTACACTTGAGGTCCAGGGGTCGTCCAGAGTGAAGTGAAAGTATTTAAATTAAGTGTTTTTTTTGATAGTTCGATTGAGTGTAAAACCTTTAACTTTGCAGACATGCTTTCCTTTGTTCGTCACATAAGCATAAGATTTAGGAGCACAGATGGTGACCTCTGTGATGAATTCACCATCATTTAATTCGTTTGTCAAGTCCCCCCATGTAGTTTCCCAATGGAACTTCCGGATCTCCTTGCCGATGAATCCACATTAAGGAATCAGTATCAAAATATATCAGGTTACGTCCAACTTGGGCCATATAATTGTATAAGTGAAGGCGGGCATGGGCAGTCGTGAACCTAATTCATCCAACCAATAAACATTTTTGAGAAAAACGTATTTATTATATTTAATTTGCACTTACGCCGCAAGGATAACATTAGTCTTTGGGTTAACTGGAATAAAGTCTTCCTTGGACTTGTAAGCAACTTGAATTACGGTGTCACTGAAGAATTCGATATTGTGAATTTCCAACGCATCATTTAATAAAAGTTCATAAAAATCTTTGGGCTCGGAAATAAACTGTGTAGACAATCTGTCCTCGCGCATCCCGAGTCGACCCCAAAAACTATAAAGAGAATAGAAACATTAAGCAATTTCAACTAATGTATCCCTAAGGAAATTGAAGACTTACTTGTTTAAAAATAACTTTGCAAGGGCGCGAAGCCCCAAGTTTTTTTCCACTTTCTCGGCGTCAATAGATACACCTTCTCGAAGTAAAAATTCTTCCATATACAGCTTTCTCTCTTCTTCGGTTTTAACATTAGAGGGCCAGCCGCTGGCCTCCGTTTTTAATTTCAAGAAATGCTGGATGTACTCTTTAAATAAGCCTTCGCGAGAACTCGGAAAATGCCAAATTTCGTAGACTTTTATCACCGTATATCCCAGGGATAGTGCCTTAATGATTTCCACAGAGCACCAGACGCCCGTAAGTGATCTTTCGGCGTCTGTGTGATGACAGCTAGAATTTTGCTGCGTCTCAGCACATAGCCGGCATAGCGGAAAAGTTAATTTTCAGTACGATAGGGTAGAACTGGTAACCATAGACATTTGGGCGGTAGAATCGTCAGGTAAAATAGTCCGAAGTAATTTTCCAAATTTGCATCAAAGTCCGCAGTAATTCGCACGTGTGGGCCAACTGGATATCTCTTCCGCGAATTTACAAAGGGATATTCCGAAATGACATCGGCAAACCTAAAAACACCTATCAATAAAATCAAGATTATAATCCTTTCTTAACTAATTGTACCGTATTTGTTCTCCGGGCTCGCATTTATAATGCAACCGTGTCCCGTTGGTCCGGCCTCCATATAGAGCATCGCGGGGTTGAAGAGGTGCGTGAACATGAATATCTTTTAGTGTTTCACGAAAATCCTCATCCTCTGCCAATTTCTGGTCGTACTCGCTTTCCCAAATTTTAATAACAGAGTATCCCATTTGCTCAAGGGCGATTTCTCGCTGGACGGTTGCCGCATGCAAATTCTCCATCGTTTGCTTGAGATGAGGATTTACAAATGTGCGTCTTGTGGTTGCGGGATTGCCGTGCCAGTAGTCGCCATAGAATTCGTAAATAATTTCCGCTTCTTCGTCATAACCGTCCACGTAATATTTTCCAATCTTCTGTTCTCTTGCAAGTGCTTTGCCTTCCGTCATTTCAATGTAGCACAACCATTTACCACATTTGACTGACTGCGTGCGCTGACTAGGGTTTTTCACAATTGCAATAAGGTTTTTTTCCAGTATCCGTGCGCGCCAGAAAAAATGGCATATACCCGCAATTGTTAGCGCTGAAGTAAATGGGCAAAGCCCACCTGAAATACCCATGAACAACTTTCGGAATTCTTGAGAGCAAACGCGTAAGGTGCTAACATCTTGCTTGCAGTATTTGACGAGCTCCTCGTTGACATTGTACTTTCCTTTCTTTTTTCTGCGATCTTTTCGATAAAATCCTTTGATAAAGTCTTTTCTTTCTTTGTTATTCATCAAGCTGTAATTGAATTCCTCCCTCTTAGGATAGGGGATAATTTTGCCAAAATTTTCTGGGCGATTGACGGGATGAGGGAATTTACCTTTTTGCTCTGTCGCTCCGAACGCTTGAGCCCAAGCGTCTAACGATTGGGGATTGTAATTCAAAGTATCACGAAATTTTATGCCAAATTCAGGAACATCTAGTTGCATAATTTTTGAGCCGTTCATTATCAGCTTTGGAACTATCCCATTTCTTAGTAACCATTTCAGAACAAAAAAACCGTCGAACGCTCGAAGATTATGGGCCAAGACGTAGAAGTTTTTAAATAATCCGGAAAATAAAAACTCGCAAAATTCTGTTGTTATATCCCGGCCAATATCGCACGAGTCAGCAGGAAAAATCCATTCCTGGCCGTTGTCGTTTTGAAGAACGGCCAGGTTCGGAATAAAATTGCCCGTTTCCGGACACGGGTATGTCTCAAAATCGAAATAGAGAAACTGGGCCTGTTCGTGCTTTTCGAGATCCTGGTCCGTCAGGACTTCGGGCTCAATGTAGCAGACGTGGTCATTTGATACGTGTTCTTTGCACACCGTGCAAAAAATCTCACCGCACACGTGGTCCGTGGTACGAAAAACTCTGGAGACAAATGATTGGCAAGATGGACAGACAAATAACGTTTGACATACCGTAATCCCGTTTTCTCCCGAGCCAGCAGCGCGATGATGATTGAAACACTCCTCACCGTAAAATGTTCGGCAGCAGTCCGAACAGTATATTCTTTCTTCTCCAGGATTACATTCAAATCGCAGGCATTGTTTGCAACGGTATTGGCATCGATGGCGATTTTTATGATCGTATCCGCGATTGCAACGGTCGCACCAGTACGATGTTTTGAACCAAGCCGGCAGGCTTTTCAAGACATCAAAATGGTTACTATGATGTAGCAAACGAATCTTTTTTTCGGCATATTCGCCGGCATAGACGATCGTATTGAGGTGGTCGACACTCGTTATCAGGATTTGGTAGTCCGGTAAGGCCAGTTGAAACTGTTGAACGTCTTCCAAAGTATATTGTCGAAGATCCAGTCCTGCGTTAGCAATGAGTTCTTTAGCCATTTTTGTCTGCAGCGTTCTGTCGGAAGCCGTACAGAGTTTTTTAGTGTGATACAAGCGTTCGTACAGCGGTATATTGTCATCTGCGAGGGCCTTAGCTATAACAAGCGCACGAGCCAAACAGAGGTTATCTGAATTACGAACAGGTATTACGCTCCTCATGGTCTCCAGCTTTTTGCGCAATAATAAAGGAACATCGTATCGACAGGATCCAGCGGGAAGGTTGGAATGGTGGATTTCCAGCTCAAAAGAATCATCCAGTACAAATTCTTGATTGGAATTGAGTACGCGGGAAACTTCTTTCATCAATCGCGCAACGGTTAGCTGATCACGACGAATGAAAGGTGTGTGAATAGGGTACGAGAGGTGACGGCTATGCAACTTGATTCTTACCCGCTCGTGATCTGGGATGTCAGTAAGGATTTCATTTAAAATTTCGTTCAAAATGGCTGTTATGACATCGGGAATCTCAGCAAAAGGAATATGACTGAGGCGATGAACTTTGCACGCAAATCTTTTACACGTCATCTGATAACGGCGATTGTAAAAATCGTTTATCGGTTTCAACACGAAAAAGTTCTTTATATGAAGCGGGTCTTCGGTAACATCGTCATCATCAACAGCATTAGTATCGTTATCATTATTATTAGAATCAACTGAATCAGCAGCGTCAGCAGCTATGCGAGGCATTTTTGCAAGCAGAAAGGTCACAGCAACTGGTTCTTAATGACAGAAAAGTGTTCCTGACACTGCTTCACAAATTCTAACTCATCTGACTTTATATCAACACAATTTTTTATGGTATCGCCAGATCTGATACGTACAGACATGGCTGAGTCATCAGAGGCAGTCGTAGTACGGTTTTCATGAACAAAAGCTGCTTGGGTATTGGACGTGGTGTCGATAATGCACCAAGATAGGGTTTCCGGATGCGCATTGGCGGTGGAGGCGGAGACTGTTTTCTGGCGGTACTTTGCAAAAGCAGGCGTATTGGTCCATTCTACAATCTTTTCCAGAATATCCATTCCGACAACCAGTTCATTGCACCGCGTATTTTTTATGGCGGGCAATAACGAACTGTACGTTGGATTTTTTATGCAACCGGTAAAAAGCCATGAAAGGATTATTGGATCCTTTTCTGACAAAGATGCTATACGCATCGCGGTACTGTGAATAACTTCGGAAGGTCCGGTCGTCCCGTTTATCAGTAAAGGTCTGGTAGAGCCAGTCCACGGATTCAGCGTTTGCTAATCTGATACGCTTGGCAGGTGGCACGAGATGCTGGTCCCCAGAATCCGCTGGCGCTGCAGTAACAGTATCTACAAAATAAATAATGTAAATAATCAAAAAGAGTTAAGGATCAGGATAAGAAACTTACTTTTGACGATGATGGAAGTGCAGAGGTACTGGGTCCAGCAACTTCAGCAGTCGGAGATGTAGTGACAACAGAGAACGGAACGGAAAGCGGTGCTGTTGAAACCGACAGCGACTGATCTGTGATGGGTAATGGATCGGGAAGTTGTTGATCACCAGGTAGAGCTGTAGGTTGCTGCAGAGTGTTATGTGGCGACAGAATAATGTAGAGATGGCGCTGCTTGTAGTATTCGTAGCGGGCAATATATCCTTGCACTGGATCAATGCCTGCAATATATATATACCTTTGGAAAATAAGTTGCAATAACAAACAAAGCATAAGACTAGATTTTAAGTCTTCCAGGCGGCCATATAATGGTGTTAAACGGAATATCTGGTCACCCACTGCAACATGAAAATGAAACTTGAGGCGTATGTTGTTGCTGCTGCTGCTGGCACAGAAATAAAAATTGTGTAGATACCGTGGTGGCAGATTTCCGCACCAGTTGCTTCATCTATAAAATTAAAGAGTTTCTCAGCTATAAATTAAGTGAACGAGATGATAAAAACTTTTTAACCTTTAAAAATCGGCTGAATGGGTGGTGGAGACCACGGACTTGATTGAAGGTGTAGTTCTGGCTGTTGCTGTTGTTGCTGTTGTTGTTGTTGTTGCGTAACTACAACAAATTTATATTTCAACAACTGTACAAAAATTTTGCGTTTAATTATACCCAAAGTACTTGTTGTCGGAGTCGTAAGAACATTATAGTCCTGCAGCTGAATTTCCAGGTCACTTAAAACTTTATCCCAAAGAGCTTCGCCATCAAACGCATTAAGATCATCCATTATCCATTACGTTTAAAGAATCAACAACGAATGAAAGCAAGTAGAGAAAAAAGGAAAGCAGAATAAAACTATTACAGTTATATAGTATCAGCAGAATGCAACTGCTACATTTTGCAGTGCAACATTTTGTCACACACAATTTTCCAGAACAGCAAAATGTATCAAGTAAAATAAAGTGACGTGACGGCTTCAACAGGCTGACGGCAGTACGGGCAGAGGCTTCCTCGGTCTAGGGTCGCTTTGGCGCACTGTCCGCACATGACCAAATGCTTACACGGACTGATCAGCGTGTTGGCATACCGCGACAGACAGATTTTACATTTCAACTGCTCAACGGTGCGGGCATCGTCTCCGACGGGTACTTCGGTGGCATAGTGCAAAAAATGCTTTTGCTCCAAAAAATCGGCGTTGTGGAACTCCACCGCTTCTTCCAATTCCTCCCAAAAATAGAAACGGCCCTTCTTCTTGGCCTTAGCGGCATCAATTTGGTCTTGACTGAAGCCAACGAGCCGTGCTTTGTTTTCCAAAACTGTCATACCTACATATTATTATTATTATTAAAAAATAAAAGTAACAAACAGATGAAACCCACCTTGTATTCCAATGTCGGTAACAGGGGACTTGCAAGCTCGTATAACATCGTTGATGAACCGTTTGCCTTTTACATTCATCAGATATGCACAGGCTGGTGATTGGCGGGCATGTTCAATCCATGGTTCCAGATCCAGCGGCAATCCAGAAATGAAGACATAGCAGTAAAAACAGCGTACAGCATCCGGGCATACCGAAACTCCCGGCACAGTAAGACCTGCGTAATAATAAAAAACCCATTGTCCTGTAAACAACGGGCGACCGGAAGCGCGAAGCGCTCCGGTCGACGTTATTTACCGCGTCCGACACATTAGCCAAATGTGTCGGCAGCGAGCAACAGGGCCCCCACCCCCTTCGCCTGGTTTAACTGTTCGACCAGCAATCGTGAGTTGTTTTTCTTGTCAACTTGATAGCCAAAAGAATGTTTTGTTGTAAAGCTCACCGCAGTTGTAGAATCCAGCTTCGGCCAGCTTGTACACCAAGTGTTTTTTTTCTTCGGGCCACGGTCTGTCGTCAAAGGAAAACGCCCGCGCATACATGGTGTTATACTTTGCGCAGTCGGGATTGTTTGGTGGTGAATGGTTGTACTCAATGTTGTCCTGATCGTAATCCATCCGCAGCCCGTTGCATTCCACCCACATCTGTGGGAAGTTATCTTTAACTGCTTTGCCAAAGCATGGATTCTTGCACGGTGTTCGATAGATGCCCGTTAGACATGTCCCTCAATCTCACAGCAGTAAACACAACGGATCTGGTGCTGGATCCCCGTGCAGTACCAGCCCAGTTCGGCGTACTCTTTCGCCACTTCGAGGGTAATTTTACCCCCACAACCACGAAATGTTTCAATGCGATTCTCAACACTTTCGGCTGGATAGCGCGGATCCCCACGAGGGCCAAAAGCACTTGCAAAACCGTCCATTGTTCTGTTAGCGTGTAGCCGTGCGTGCGTGCGTGTGTGCTCTGCTCTACGGTTTATAAAGCCCAGTGTGAACAACAAAATGCTGAGCAACAAATTGCTGAACCGGATTTTGTGGTCAGGGTGTTTAGTGTATTTGATTATTATAAATACAGGCTTCTAATTCCAACTCGTTTTCATTATTCTTCCTGACACTTTTAGTTAGTCTACCTTTTCTTCTGATATACCATGACTAGTCTGCCTCCTTCCAAACGCGGTTTCGTACCCGATAAAACTGATCTTGTCGGGGAAGCAAAGCGCAAGTTTGCGAGCGGAAAGATCGCTTTCCACTATGAAGGATTCCCTACCATGAAGTTCGGGTACGACAAGTTCATCTGCACCCGCATCAACAGTGACACCCAGGCCTTGGAGTTCATAATTGGCGACTTTACGACTGCCAGTCCTCCTGGACCAGATGCGAAATGGACGCTGGGAGAGAAACACATTTTTCTCACCAACGACCAGTTCATGCGCCTCGTTGGACTCATCTACAACAACATTACGACTTTAATCCGGGATCCACAGCTAACCAGCGGTAACCTGTCCACCCTGTTTCACCTCGGAAACGACGTCTATTTTGTGTGGTCAAGCTATGACAGTGTAGCGCTGGCCAATATCCGCCAGTTCTGCAAGAGAGGCAACGGCGACATGCAGGCCACCAAGAATGGTGTTTCTTTTGGGATAAAATCGTTTGAATCACTTCGTACCACCATCCAAGACCTGTCAATGTTCAAGGACATCAATGCTTTGTTGAAAGCACGTGGCTCGCTAGTGATTCACAACGAACCAACGGCAGCGGATTTTTCAAGCCTGTTGGCTGGCCTACCGTTCACCATGTATGGTATGTGGCTTGACCGTCTGCACGAGAACTGTGCACGTTGCGGGGAAATGGTCACGTTGTTTACACAACCAACTGTTCGTGAAGCCAGCCATGCCTGTGAATGGGGATTGGGTACACTGAATCTAACGGATGAAATGATGAACGACATCATTACTGAGCTTGGAAATGGCAAACGTCTCATTGGCATGATGTTGTTACTGCGTCCTTGGGGCCAGCTTACCGGATTTGACGACATTTTGGGTTTTAACGCCAAACAGTTTTTGGACCAGCATAAGGATACCCTGTGGGAGTCTGTCAAGCGTATTGCTATGGAGAAGCTGAAGATTACGGAGATTGGAGACGGGAAGATGAAACTGCCTATCGAAATCAACAAGGCCCAGGAAGGAAACAGCGGCAACGGTGGTGAAGACGGTGGTGTCTAAAGCGACGGAATCGTTTGCGTTTTGTGTTACGGTAAAGCATGTCTGTGTTACCATAAAAATGTGAAATGTAAACGCTAAAAAAAAGTGCTGATTGCTTCTACTTCTACCTCAGGGACATAAAATGTGAAATGTAAAACCCAAAAAAATTTGCTGCTTTTTTATTTTATTCAAGTTCTTCATACATTGCTGTGTTCATGTTAAAGTGATTGTTTACCCATTGACAAACCATTGCATCATTGTTTGCGTAATTTTTTGTGAAATAATGAATAATGTCTCTATATGATTCTCGCTTGCGCGCTTATAAATAAAAAAAATGCAAAATTGACCGCAGACTGTCGAAAACGTTTGTTGTATACGTTCCATTTGATAAACAACATGTAAATCAGTTAACCATTCTCTAATCTCGTCAAAATACTCCACAGATCGTCCGTATGAGTCGAAAAACTCGATGGATGACGGCTCGCTTTGATAGAATGCTAACCAGTGTTCACCAGAACCACTGGATTTGTCCGTGTTGACGATGTAGGCGGCAGGTAAAACATTGGAGCGTTCGGGAAGTGTATCCCGGGCATAAACTCCTCGAAATATCCTCTCCGTTTTTGGATTTTGGCAAAGTATCTTTGTCATTGTTCGATTATCCATTTTAGTTAGTTGGTAAAGTCACAAATTAGCTGACGAAAATTGTTAATTTCTATTACCGCGTCAAACGTAAGAAATGTGACCATGATCGTGGGCTGCTTGAGCGGTTGGTTGAAGACTACTCGGATGCCTAAATTACCCTGACGAATTAAACTTAGAGGGCCGAGTCCGGTTCCCCCTGGCGTTAAATCAAAGCCGTAAATACAGAATCCGTTTGCATACTCGTCGCGATTAAAAGGCAGTGCGCCAAAAGGACTGTTACGCCGTCCTAAAGTGTCTAGCAGACCATCGTAGCACTCCAAGTAATTACCGTTTGCATAATCCGGCTCGTACGGCCGATTAGGAAAAGACTGTCCATCAACTTCGACGCTGATTTGAGACAAATTAAAGTGTTGAAAATTGAATGGATTTGTCTTTTTTGTGCCGTTAAAAGCATCCGCTGCGACAAAAGCCACAAAAAGCACCTTGGGGACTTGACCAATGTGTATGTTATTAAAAACAGTGCTTTGTATGTTGGCAGGTAATTCGATCGGGCGCATCAGAACACGTTCTATAGGATATTTTGCTGTTGTGGTCAATAACCGCTTGCTTATAGCATTCATGTATTCTGGAACCCCTGTAATAGTAATGCATTAGATTTTTTTTATGCAGATATTTTCAAATTTTTCCTGCTGCTTACCAACATAACGGCGAACAAAAATTCTTGGATTGCGTATAAATAATTTAAATTCGTCCTGCGCCGGATTCGCAAAATCGCGAAGATAGAATTCCGGTTTATGCAAAACAAAGCGTATTTGTAATGGAACTCCAGTTATCAAAGGCTTGTCTTGCATGAAAATATCCGAAAACAATTTCCCGCTTAAAGGGATGTATTCATGTTTTGCGAAAAGCCTGAGTCGTGATTGTTCGGCTGAGTTGTTAACCGAATCTTCAAAGCTTCCGGCGACATCCAAGTAAAACCCACAGGATGTTAGCTGTGTATTCATCGCCTCTTTGTGTAATTTAGCAAGCACTCAAACATTGCTCTGTATGGATAATAGATTGCGCAGTCGCTTACCAATCGGTTAGCAACCGAAACTTGAACTGATTGAAACATTGAATGAATCAAATTATTTACAGGAGCACAGGTATCCGTCGCTTTGATTCGCTCCCAACTACCATCAGCATTCCTTTTCTTTAGTGCCACTTCTAATTCTATGCTTAAATCCGGTAAAGAAACCATGGCGTTTGATGAAGGAGCTATATAAAATTTATGTCACCACCCGCCGGAATATTTTCCGGAATGGCGGCTGGGGCCGATTCTTTCTTCTTCTGTCCGGAATCGGTCCGCAAACGAAGGCGGTATGGCAAAATGTGCGATTCTGCAGCAATGGCAAGTTCTGAGCCTTCGCTTATGGAAGCCATTTCTAAATATAGTCAGGAAGATCAAACGGTGGGACACAGCGAATTTCGGTAGTGCGTTACCGCTGCGTTGGTTTCTTTAATACCCCTTTTCTCCCTTTTTACCGCCGCTAGATGCTTGTTGAGTTGGTGCGAGAACTTGGGCGATTTTTGTTGCCCACAGATTTTGCAGCTTCATGTACCGCTGTACTAGCTGTTTTTTAAATGAGGCGTAGCAGCTGCTAAAGCGGTTTAGCCTGCGGCGCTGCCGCCCTTACAACTGGTGCAACAAACGAGCAACCTTGGAAAATACTGCACGCAGAAAACTACCAAAACCTCCACCGTTTTGATAGCTTCCACGATATCGAACAAATCCGCTCCCCAGCTGTGTATGACCTAGTAAATCATCAAATAATCCCGGATCAGGCAACGGGGCCCCCCCAACCCCCTTCGCCTGGTTTAACTGTTCGACCAGCAATCGTGAGTTGTTTTTCTTGTCAACTTGATAGCCAAAGAATGTTTTGTTGTAAAGCTCACCGCAGTTGTAGAATCCAGCTTCGGCCAGCTTGTACACCAAGTGTTTTTTTTCTTCGGGCCACGGTCTGTCGTCAGGAAAACGCCCGCGCATACATGGTGTTATACTTTGCGCAGTCGGGATTGTTTGGTGGTGAATGGTTGTACTCAATGTTGTCCTGATCGTAATCCATCCGCAGCCTGTTGCATTCCACCCACATCTGTGGGAAGTTATCTTTAACTGCTTTGCCAAAGCATGGATTCTTGCACGGTGTTCGATAGATGCCCGTTAGACATGTCCCTCAATCTCACAGCAGTAAACACAACGGATCTGGTGCTGGATCCCCGTGCAGTACCAGCCCAGTTCGGCGTACTCTTTCGCCACTTCGAGGGTAATTTTACCCCACAACCACGAAATGTTTCAATGCGATTCTCAACACTTTCGGCTGGATAGCGCGGATCCCCACGAGGGCCAAAAGCACTTGCAAAACCGTCCATTGTTCTGTTAGCGTGTAGCCGTGCGTGCGTGCGTGTGTGCTCTGCTCTACGGTTTATAAAGCCCAGTGTGAACAACAAAATGCTGAGCAACAAATTGCTGAACCGGATTTTGTGGTCAGGGTGTTTAGTGTATTTGATTATTATAAATACAGGCTTCTAATTCCAACTCGTTTTCATTATTCTTCCTGACACTTTAGTTAGTCTACCTTTTCTTCTGATATACCATGACTAGTCTGCCTCTTCCAAACGCGGTTTCGTACCCGATAAAACTGATCTTGTCGGGAAGCAAAGCGCAAGTTTGCGAGCGGAAAGATCGCTTTCCACTATGAAGGATTCCCTACCATGAAGTTCGGGTACGACAAGTTCATCTGCACCCGCATCAACAGTGACACCCAGGCCT